CATTATCTGGCCCAGTTCAGAGTAAATAAGGACAGCGCTGAACTCTTTCCCTGACAAATATCAGTAGACAAGCGCTTTCATCCGAGCCTCCATTCCCACATCCACAGTGTCCAGGCCACAGGGCAGCAAAAGAGCCTCCAAACAGCTAATAATTAGATTAAAAAGTTCCCGAAAAACAGCAACCAGCGAGTCTGTGGTCCGGTCCCTCATTCAGGGCTCTTTCTGCTGCAGGCCTCTAAAGCAACAATAGGAGCCGAGACACAGTTGTAGGAAAAATTACCGCTTTACATTTTTCCACTCTTTCGGCTCTCCGCTGGCCTTTTGAGGAGCAGCAGAAGAAACGGGGGTTAAAATGACAAGAGCGAGAAGGTTTGGTCGTTAAAATTCTTTTTTCCTCAATGCGCGAGAGTGCTGAGAAAGCGCGGAGAAGAAAAGAGCGCGCAGAATAGACAGATAAACCAGGTCTTTACAGGAGCGGGCCGGCCGCGGGGGGCTGCTATTGTGAGAAGCACTAAAACAGCTTTTCTCATGGACATTAAATGGACGTGCTCAAATATCTATGAATACTGATGGCCGATCAAAACGGATCATCCAGCACAATGACGTCGCTGTCTGATAAAACAGTGCACTGGGGTCCCACACCACCATTGAGATTATAATCGAGCAAAATATGGGAACTCGCGCGCACACTTTGTTTAACTGCGAGGAAAAACTGCCATTCATCAGGGCGAAACACCTCTGGATCTGAAGTTGAGGACTACATTATTCAGCCTCATGGGAAATTTGAAGTCTTTTCATACACATCTCAAGTGCAAACGTGTGTTAAACATCTCTAATAGCTGATTTATTTTCTCTTCGCCATGATGACAGCACATAATATTAGACTAGATATTCTTCAAGACACTTCTATACAGCTTAAAGGGACATTTAAAGGCTTCACTAGGGAAACTAGGGTAAAGTTAGGGTAATTATGCAAGTCATTGTATAACAGTGATTTGTTCTGGGGACAATCAAAACTAATAATTACGTAAAAATAGTTGTAGAATATTTTTAAATGCTTTTATTGCAGCCAAAAATGAATTACTTCAACTTTCTTCAGAAAGGAAAGGATTTAATGGGAAATACTGTGTAAAATGTTCCTCCTAAGCTCTGCATATACACGTCACCAGGTCCATGGCATCATTTACTTCTGCATAGGCATGAAACGATAACCGTTTTCAACGTTTGGAAAAGTCAAGGTTTTTAACCACTTAAACTCTGCTGCTATTTTGGGATTTCCGCCTGGATTTTGCCTAACCAAATTTAAAAGCTTCCCAAATCCACATGCAGAGTTGTAAATGCAAACATTTGGTCTCATTTTAAAGAAAACCCTTTGAATTTTCATAGAACACTATTGAAAGTGTTTAAAAATAACTGTATATGTCGTCTGTGTTATAATAAACACCTAAAAAAAGAGGCGCTTTTTGTATTTTTTTTTTTTTTTATAAACTCAAACTTGAAAGTGCACCTTAGGTTCTGTGTGGTCCAGCATGCTGTAATTAAGCCACAGGGAACGATCATTGTTTTCATATTTCACTATTCTTTTGTTTTATCAAACATAATTCACTGTGTTTGGAGCACGTCAGACATATAAAAGGATTACTTATGGACATCACCTCAAAAACAGAGGAGAATGGGCCTGAAGCGCACAGCATAAGGTAAGAGATGACGGCTGTCTGTGCTATTTGGGGCTGCTTATAGATCATGAATGTATTGTTTTCACTTCTGCGCCATGGAAACACAGGGATTCATTCAGCAACTGTTTGGCATATGAATATAATTCAGTAAAAAGAATGCTAGAACCGTATGAGCACCAGCAAGAGCTTTCATTTGAGCTATAACTTGTACATGTGTCAGATGAAAAATATGAAAATGAACCAATTTAAAATACTCAGCTGGGGTATCCAAAATACTGTGTATTTAAGTGTAAATAACTTTTACACAGTAGAATAAAAACCAAAGTGATGCATATGTGCATAAAATATAGATTCTACACTTTCAAACGACACCACTTACGGGGTTTGGTGCAACGCTAGGCCTTTAAATCTTAAAGCGAAAGTCGATGACGTCACGGACCCGGTACCAGGTCGCAGAGTTTAAGTGGTTAAACCCGTCAAAATTGTCTGCTACCGCTCCTAAGGTACGAGTGAGATTTTTATATCAACTTTTTTTAGGACAGCAGTATCTCCAGCAGAAAAGATCTCTGTATTAAAACATAAAGAAATCAGTGTTTTTGAAACAAATGAAGTCAGCAGAAGTCAATAATTCATGGTCATTATTTAGCCGGACATGTTTACAGCTCCACAATATTATAAATGTTTCCCAAATGTAAATATATTGTGTACAAAGAGGAAAAGGTTTTGTTTTTTTACCCACACATTTAAAAAGAGTACAGTTTAGAGAAGCAATCACAGTACCGGGATATTTATATCCAAGGTTTTCATACCGTCAGGATCTTATTTTAAAGGTTTTTAAAATCTTAACATTTAAAGGTTTCATTTTAAAGGTGCGTCCTGGCCCAATACCCCCCATAAGTGGCTTCGTTCTCTCATCAGTTGGAATATAATAACTTCTGCATAGATTATGAAAGGGGTGTTGCTAGACATAAAGCTCTACTGGGGCACAGCTCCCCCTCCAAAAAAACAATCAATCAATCAATCAATCAATCCATCCATCTATTATTGCAATCCGAATTAATTAACCCCTTAAACTATTAGACAGCAGATTTCTTCAACACATTTTTAATCATAATAGTGTTAATAACTTATCTCTAATAACTGATTTATTTTCTGTGTCATGATGACAGTAAATAATATTAGACTAGATATTCTTCAAGACACTTCTATACAGCTTAAAGTGACATTTAAAGTCTTAACTAGGGTAATTAGGTTAATGACTACAGTTGTCATGTTACCCTAGCAACTGTAGAATCAGCACAACAGATCAGTTACTATAGTTGTTGTGTTACCATAACAACTGTAAAATCAGCACAAGAGATAAATTACCATAGTTGTTGTGTTACCATAACAACTGTAGAATCACCACAACAGATCAATTACTATAGTTGTTGTGTTACCATAGCAACTGTAGAATCAGCACAACAGATCAGTTACTATAGTTGTTACCATAGCAACTGTAGAGTCAGCACAACAGATCAGTTACTATAGTGTTTGTTACCAGAGCAACTGTAGAATCACCACAACAGATTAAGTATTATAGTATCAAAAAGTATTCAATGTATTTGCTTTAAAAAGGTATATTTTAATTAATATATTTTTTATATATATTTGTATATTTATTTAGATTTATGTTTTACTTTTAGGCAAGGCAAGGCAAGTTTATTTATATAGCACATTTCATACACAGTGGCAATTCAAAGTGCTTTAAATAAACAAGAATAAAAGAGACAAGTGTAAGAAAATGAAAATAAAAAATATAAAAATAAGAATAAAAAATAGATAAAACAGATAAAAATGTGTTAAAATGTTATAAGATAATGAAAAAGAAGAAAAAAACACAAAAGTGCGATCTGTCGGACGCAGCACAGTGCTCATTCAGTAAAGGCACAGCTTTACTGCTTTTACAGCTTTTTAGGATATCTTCATTTTTTATTTAGTGTTTTATTATTAGTTTATGTACTGTCATCATTGCAAAGACAAAAGAACTTGGGTAGTGAACATGTTATGCTTAAAAATGTGTTAAAAATAAATCTTCTGTCAGTTTAACACCACTCAGGAAATGTGTTTCAACTGAAGGGTTAGAGGAGGGCCAATAACTGTAATAATAATAATAATAATTAATAATAATAATAATAATAGTAGTAGTAATCATAATAATAGAGACTGGCCTTTCTTGAACTCGATCTCCAGCATATCTGCTTGATCAGGAGAATGCTCAGGGTTTTTGGTCATCTGGTAGAGATCTGAAGGTGCGTGATTCTGAAAAACAGCAGAGAAAAACAACATTACTAATAAAAATAAAATAAATATAGCGACAAAATCCCAAACTGCAAATAACCCTTCTCCATTAACACTGAAGTTCTGTATGTACATGCACATATTTAGTTCATGCATATTTTGTATTTTCAAAAAGATACGATTGACAGTTTATTTTACATTTCCTCATTAATAAGTTGTTTATCTCATTATTATCATTAAATTTAATAATAATAACAACAAAACATTTTATTTAAAGGCATCTTTCTAGCAACTCAAGGACACTGTATAATAAATCAAGAGCAATAAAGCAACAAGAGATCTATCTATAAACACACTTTGGGTGTGTTTTGAGACCCAATTATAATATAAGTATGTTAATGTAATCTGCATGCAGACACGTTCCAACTAAAATATTACATGAACAATGCAATAATATCTGCACACTATGAATCATTCATTATTTATTAGGTACACCTCTCCAACTGCTTGTTAACGCAAATGTCTAATCAGCCAATCACATGGCAGCAGCTCACTGCATTTCGGCATGTAGACATGGTCAAGAGGATCTGCTGCAGTTCAGAGTGTTGCTGCCAGACGGGCTGCTCTGAGTATTTCAGAAACTGCTGATCTACTGGGATTTTCACACACAACCATCTCTAGGGTTTACAGAGAATGCTCCGACAAAGAGGAAATATCCAGTGAGCGGCAGTTCTGTGGGCGCAAATGCCTTGTTGATGAGGTCATATGTCAGAGGAGAATGGCCAGACTGGTTCCAGCTGACAGAAAGGCAACAGTAACTCAAATAAGCACTCGTTACAACCGAGCTCTGCAGAAGAGCATCTCTGAACACACAACACGTCCAACCTTGAGGCGGATGGGCTACAGCAGCAGAAGAGCACACCGGGTGCCGCTCCTGTCAGCTAAGAACAGGAAACTGAGGCTACAATTCACACAGACTCACCAAAACTGGACAATAGAAGATTGGAGAAACGTTGCTGCTCTGATGAGTCTCCATTTCTGCTCACACATTCAGATGCTCAGGGCAGAATTTGGCCTCAACAACATGAAAGCATGGATCATCCTGCCTTGTATCAGCGGTTCAGGCTGGTGGTGGTGGTGTAATGGTGTGGGGGAGATTTTCTTTGGGTCCATTAGTACCAATTGAGCATCAACGCCACAGCCTACCTGAGTATTGCTGCTGACCATGTCCATCCCTTTATGAGCACAGTGTCTCCATCTTCTGATGGCTACTTCCAGCAGGATAACGCAGCATGTCATAAAGCTCAATCATCTCAGACTGCTGAACATGACGATGAGTTCACTGTACTCAAATGGCCTCCACAGTCACCAGAGCTCAATCCAATAGAGCAGCTTTGGGATGTGGTGGAACGGGAGATTGGCATCATGGATGTGCAGCCGACAAATCTGCAGCAACTGTGTGATGCTATCATGACAATATGGAGCAAAATCTCTGAGGAATATTTCCAGTAGCTTGTTGAATCTACAACACCAAGGATTAAGGCAGATCTGAAGGCAGAAGAGGTCCAACCTGGAACTAGTAAGGTGTACCTAATAAAGAGGCCAGTGAGTGCTTATGTTTGTTATTCAGGCATATAATAATGGTTAATATGGTAATAAATGCTTTATTAACTTCATGCAGTTTTGTGACCTACTCTAAATTCAGGATTGTTTATGCATTATAAATCCCTTATAAATGACAATTACAGGCTCAAATGTATGAAATGAAGAATAAATCTTTGCACACCTGATGTAAAACGCCAGTACAGTTTAATCCTCACTGAATAACAGGAGTCAAAACACAACTTCATTAGTAAAACAACAACAATATAATCATTTGGCACACAACAGCGTTGATTTCAGTGTTATTCAGCCGTGTTTAAACTGCAGTAAGTGTATATTTAATACGACTGCACAGATGTGTTCAGTCTTGATGTTCTGTTAACGACAAACGTTCAGTCCAAACATCCCTCAAGCCTGAACACTGAGGCTTTCTGCTTCGAGTGACACGTCTGCAGGACAAAAGTACTTATATTCATGCAGGAAAACACCCACACACACACACACACACACACACACACACACACACACACACACACACACACACACACACACACGTTTATTTCCTGTGAGCAGAAGAGGAAAGTAAAAGCCACACGGTCTGAAGAACATCAAGTGTTCACGTCTGACAGACACACACTCGTTGAAGCTACTGCTCTGACCACACCTGCTGTGTGTGTGTGTGTGTGAGAGAGAGAGAGAAAGAGAGACAGCATTGTGTATGTGTGTGACAGTAAATGTGAGTGTGTGTGTTTGTATGCATGTATATAAGTGAGCGTGAGCGTTTGTGTGTGTGAGTGTGTAGGGAAAGTGTGTGAGTGTGCACACAAGTGTGCTTTGACAGTGTGCGCATGTTTGTGTGTGTGGATATGAGTGTGAAAGAGTGTGTGTGTGTGTGTGTGTGTGAGAGAGAGAGAGACAGCAAGTGTTTGTGTATGTGTGTGACAGTAAATATGTGAGTGTGTGTATGTTTGTATGCATGTATATAAGTGAGCGTGAGCGTTTGTGTGTGTGAGTGTTTAGGGAAAGTGTGTGAGTGTGCACACAAGTGTGCTTTGACAGTGTGCGCATGTTTGTGTGTGTGGATATAAGTGTGAAAGAGTGTGTGTGTGTGTGTGTGTGTGTGTGTGTGTGTGTGTGTGTGTAAGAGAGTGAGAGACACAGCAAGTGTTTGTGTATGTGTGTGACAGTAAGTGTGTGTGTGTGTGTTTGTATGCATGTATATAAGTGAGCGTGAGCGTTTGTGTGTGTGAGTGTTTAGGGAAAGTGTGTGAGTGTGCACACAAGTGTGCTTTGACAGTGTGCGCATGTTTGTGTGTGTGGATATAAGTGTGAAAGAGTGTGTGTGTGTGTGTGTGTGTGTGTGTGTGTGTGTGTGAGAGAGAGAGAGAGACAGCAAGTGTTTGTGTATGTGTGTGACAGTAAGTGTGTGTGTGTGTTTGTATGCATGTATATAAGTGAGCGTGAGCATTTGTGTGTGTGAGTGTGTAGGGAAAGTGTGTGAGTGTGCACTCAAGTGTGCTTTGACAGTGTGCGCATGTTTGTGTGTGTGGACATTAGTGTGAAAGTGTGTGTGTGTGTAAGTGTACAAAAAGGAGTGTACACGAGTGTGTGTGTGTTTGTGGGGGGTGTGACTGAGCATGTTTGTGCGTGTGTATACAAGTGTGAAAGTGTGTGTTTGAGATTGTGTGAGTGCAACACTGAGGGTTTGAGCACGAGTGTTTGTCTGTGTGAGTGTGTCCTGGTGAGTACATGTGTGATTAAGTGTGTGTGTGTGTGTGTGTGTAAAAGAGAGAACGCGTGTGTAAGTGTGAGAGAGACAGCAAGTTTGTGTGTGTGTGTGTGACAGCGAGTGTTTGTGTGTGTGTGTTTGGGTGTGTGTATGTAAGTGTGACTGAGTGTGTGTGGGCGCATATGTGTTTGTTGCGGAAAAGTGCTGTGAGAGTGCACAAGTGTGTGTGTGTGTGTGTGTGTGTGTAAGTGCGTGTGACAGTGCGGGTATGTTTGTGCGTGTTTATATGAGAGTGTGAAAATGTGTGTGTGAGACTGTGAGGGTAACACTGAGTGTAAGTGTGTCTTGGTGAGTGCATGTGTGATTAAATGTGTGTGTGTGTGTGTGTGTGTGTGTATATAAGAGTGAGAGTAAGAGTGCAGGTGAATAAATGTGTGTGTGTGTGTGTGTGTGTGTGTGTGTGTGTGTGTGTGTGTGTGTGTGTGTGTATATAAGAGTGAGATTGAGAGTGCAGGTGAATAAATGTGTGTTAGAGTTGTGTACACGAGCGTGTGTGTTTTGTCTGTTTAAGTGCATGTGTGATCAAGTGTGTGTGTGTGTGTGTGAGTGCGTGTGTGTGTTTGTGTGTGTGTGTGTATAAGAGTGAGAGTGCAGGTGCAGGTGTATAAAAGTGTGTGAGAGTTTGTACATGAGCGTGTGTGTTTGTGTAAGTGCATGTGTGATCAAGTGTGTGTGTGCATTTGTGTGTGTTTGTGTGTATAAGAGTGAGAGTGCAGGTGTATAAGTGTGTGAGTGTGTACACGAGCGTGTGTGTTTGTGTAAGTGCATGTGTGATCAAGTGTGTGTGTGTGTGTTTGTGTGTATAAGAGTGAAGGTGTATAAAAGTGTGTGAGAGTGTGTGTTTGTCTGTTTAAGTGCATGTGTGATCAAGTGTGTGTGTGTGTGTTCACAAGTGTCTGTGTGTGTTTCATGCGAGTCTCTGTGTGCACAAGTGTGTGCGTCTCTTACTCTTGGTGTGTGTCCATCAGATAGCATCCCTGACCAATTACCGCAGATTACAGTGAGATGTCAAGTGTGTGTGTGTGTGTGTGTGTGTGTGTGTGTGTGTGTGTGTGTGTGTGTGTGTGTGTGTGTGTGTGTGGCAGATTGCGGAGAAACTATGTGAAATAAGCGGCGGGTGCATTTAAACGGAAAGCTTTACCAGACAAACATGATCAGAGGTAAATAAACCGATGTGTGCCGTGCGGAGGTGTTGAGGCGCTCGTTACTGTCGCTTTAACTAAACGCCGCCTGTATTTTCTGCTTCACTAGCATCTGTCCCCAGATAACTCCAGGAGACGAGTGCAGAAATGGCCTTAAAAGCCTGTCGCAGACGCATCCGCAAGCCTAGAATTAGCGGAAAGAATTTAACAGCGGAGTGTGACGGCTAAACACTGCTCGACTGCATGCGCTTCACACATTTATAAAGTGTGATTGTATGTAAATGCAGGAGTTCTGAGTAAAACACTGGCCTTCAGGGAGGAAAACAGTTAAAGGGAAAGCCTGGAGCGGAAGCGGAGTATCCAGTCTGGTTAAACATGTGGGTAAGCTGATTACTTGTTTCAGATGAAATAATGAGATCAACATTTGTCATTATACACACACACACACACACACACACACACACACACACACACTATCATTCAGAAGTTTGCGGTCAGTAGGATTGTTAAATGTTTTAAATCAGCTTCTCCTGGTCACTAAGGCTGTTTATTTCATCAATAATGCAGCACAAATCGTACAATTGTGAAATGTTATTGCACTATAAAATAACTGTTCAACAGAAGATTTAAAATTTAATCCTTTATTCAGTGATTTAAAGATGAATTTACTGAAGTCTTCAGAGTCGCATGATCCTTCAGAAATCACTCTAATATTAATTATTATTAATGGTAATAGTAATAAAGCAATAATAACTGGAGCAATAATGCCATTTGAAACTACACACAATAAGTAACAAATAATTATTTAACAATCTAACATGTTTATGTTTAATGAATGCTGCCTTGATGAACAGAATCATAGTTGTGTTGTGATACAGACACGTTACAGTTATAATGCATAAACAGTCCTCACTTTAGATTAGGTCACAAAACTGCATGAAATTAATAAAGCATTTATTAACATATTAACCATTATTATATGCCTGAATAATACACATATGTACTCACTGGCCACTTTATTAGGTACACCTTACTAGTTCCAGGTTGGACCTCTTTTGCCTTCAGATCTGCCTTAATCCTTGGTGTTGTAGATTCATCAAGCTACTGGAAATATTCCTCAGAGATTTTGCTCCATATTGTCATGATAGCATCACACAGTTGCTGCAGATTTGTCGGCTGCACATCCATGATCCAATCTCCCGTTCCACCACATCCCAAAGCTGCTCTATTGGATTGAGCTCTGGTGACTGTGGAGGCCATTTGAGTACAGTGAACTCATCGTCATGTTCAAGAAACCAGTCTGAGATGATTGAGCTTTATGACATGCTGCGTTATCCTGCTGGAAGTAGCCATCAGAAGATGGAGACACTGTGCTCATAAAGGGATGGACATGGTCAGCAGCAATACTCAGGTAGGCTGTGGCGTTGATGCTCAATTGGTACTAATGGACCCAAATAGTGTCATTAATATTTGTTTCGACCTTAAGTACAGTGGTACAAGCTGAAACTTCATTACACATTAATGATGCTGTTTTTTTGACATTGCTGCAGTGACACTTTTAATGACAAATAGTGAAAGTTCCACTGAAAACACGATGAAAACATTGATGAAAGAATTATAATGTCTTCATGACAATCATGTTTGTGACAGATTTATGACGAGTTTTTGTCATCTTGGTAACGTCAAGTTGTCAATGCAAAGATGAAGGCCCAAAGTGATGTATTTGTTTATGTCACGTTATCATAACAAACAACGTCATCTTTGCATTTAAAGTATCATAACAGAATTGGGTCATTTGGTTATATTACTGTAGTTGTTGTGTTACCATAGCAACTGTAAAATCACCACAACAGATTAGTTACTATAGTTGTGTTACCATAGCAACTGTAAAATCACCACAACAGATCAGTTACTATAGTTGGGTTACCAAAGCAATTGTAGAATCACCACAACAGATCAGTTACTATAGTTTTTGTGTTACCATAGCAACTGTAAAATCACCACAACAGATTAGTTACTATAGTTGTGTTACCATAGCAACTGTAAAATCACCACAACAGATCAGTTACTATAGTTTTTGTGTTACCATAGCAACTGTAAAATCACCACAACAGATCAGTTACTATAGTTGTGTTACCATAGCAATTGTAGAATCACCACAACAGATCAGTTACTATAGTTTTTGTGTTACCATAGCAACTGTAAAATCACCACAACAGATCAGTTACTATAGTTGTTGTGTTACCATAGCAACTGTAAAATCACCACAACAGATCAGTTACTATAGTTGTTGTGTTACCATAGCAACTGTAGAATCACCACAACAGATCAGTTACTATAGTTGTTGTGTTACCATAGCAACTGTAAAATCACCACAACAGATCAGTTACTATAGTTGTTGTGTTACCATAGCAACTGTAGAATCACCACAACAGATCAGTTACTATAGTTGTTGTGTTACCATAGCAACTGTAGAATCACCACACAAGATCAATTACTATAGTTTTTGTGTTACCATAGCAACTGTAGAATTACCACAACAGATCAGTTACTATAGTTGTGTTACCATAGAAACAGTAGATTCACCATAACAGATCAATTACTATAGTTGTGTTATCATAGCAACAATTTCAGTAGTAGTACTAAGTTAGTACTTTACTATAGTTCAGAAATGCCCTTTTCTCAACATCAGCTCATGTAACAATATGAACAGAAGTGATTCGTCCGTGTCTTTTTCCTGAACAATAAAGGCATTTAAACCTGATTGTCAATCAGTCTCTTTAATCAATGATCTGCTAATGCGCTGTTGGTTCAGACGTGCACAGGCTTGAAAGCGAGCGGCAGAGACAGGCCTCAGATCAGGTGAATCTGAGCACGTCTGAGCGCTTGATATAATGTGACGGGATCAATGCATTTCAATCCTGACCCCCTGCGGGTGGATCTGCTCTCGGCCTTTAACCCCGCGCCGCAGCCCGAGGTAGGAATAATCCACAGCCGGAGCATTGCAGGCAAATGGTGCGTGAAGAGAGCCATCATGCTTTATTCAGCTGCCCGTATACATATTGTTGTCCCTCCTGAAAGACTTACAGCAAGTAAATTTCTCTCTTTCCTCATGTTAGCCGTGCCTCATTTGCTTTCAATCAAAGGCCGGAGTGGAGAGAGATGCAGCGAGGAGACAGAAAAGAGGTGGAAAGAATGAGTGAAGGGATGAAAGTCGAGCAGTAAATCTGGCCACTGGATTGGAAGTGACGCGTAAATCGCCGTGTCCTGAACCTGAGCTGATGCTAAACGCTGACAAATCTCGATCTGATAGCGGCAGATCATTTGCATTTTAACTCGATATGACTGAACGTCTTCATGAAAGAGGCACGTTCACCTGTCAGGTTGATGTCAGACTTATATAAAGCAAACATGATGACTTTTATATAGTTAATATTAGTAATGCTCAGACTGTTGAGTGTGTTGTTTCATTTATTTACTTTTAAAACTGAATGCTTGATTCTGATTGGCTGATGAATGTGCTAATTGTCAAATAAAGGCACAGCTAAAGTAGTTCCGGCATGTTTTGAGTGACTCTATATCACTCTGCTTATTTCCCACGTACAACAGTCAGAAATCACACCAGAATTGTTAGTGTACCTATTTCAGTCTTAGTATATGCCTAAATAGGTTAATAAAGTTGAGTCTGAACATGCAAACTCCACACAATAACGCCAACTGTCCAAGCCGGGACTCACACCAGAGAAATGAGTGCTGTGGGTAGGGTTGTAACGGTATGAATTTTTTACGGTATGATAATCGTCTAAAACAATACCACGGTTTGACGGTTTCGCGGTATACGGTATGTTACAAATGTTACAAAATAATAGAACAGTGAAGCAAATTTGACTTTTTCCAAATAATATATTTTCAGTTACTATAAACAACACCACTTACAATGAACAAATAAAAAAATAAGAAAATAATAAATAATGTGTCAAAGTCCAAATAAAGTCCAAATAAACATGGTGCAAATCCTCAGTAAAAATAGATATAAATATTTACTATACTATAAATAGTTACATAACGAAACTAGATTCAATATGGAACATCCTTAGGTTTTATGTGCCAGCATGGATATGGTTGTCTGTGGATATGGATTTGGATATGGTTGTCTGCAATGCAGACAAACAGCTGCACCTTCATTTGCGTCTTTTGAAAACAGCAAGAGCAGCAGTTCGTCTTTGCTGTGTCACTGTTTTGTCATGTTTCTGTGCTGATGTGCATGCAAAAGTACTTAGTATGAGAATTATTTCATGCAAAACTTTTTTTTTTTTGCGTTTTATTTAGCCGCGCATAAATGTATGCCTATCTCTCATTCCGTGTTGTTCAAAAAGCTCAGTGTTGGTCCACAAACAAAAGCGAAACCTATGCTTATTGGTTGTGATATAGCGAGTTTGAACCAATCTGGGCATGGAGGAGGGACAATGCATCAATGTATCATGTCTGGTTTGTCCGGAGACACAGTGACGAGCGTTTCTTTGTCAAATCAGCGTTGTCGAATTTTGATGACGTAACCGCACTGATTCCGGAGTCTCTGAAAGTCTGCGAATGTTATGTGATACAGCACTGGAAAGCTGAGACTCTCTTCTTTATGCCAATCTTTGAATTGTATGAATCGGATCAGCGGATCAAAAGTTATTAAACATTCAAGAGCAATACTTATTTTTAGCCGCGGATGGCTGTCTCGGTCTTTAAGGGTTAAAACCGTTGATATGCAATTGTTCATGGTATGATAATCGTGCACGTTCAAATCGTGGTAAACCGTCATACCGGTATATTGTTACAACCCTAGCTGTGGGGCCACAATGCTAACCACTGAGCCACCGTGCACTTTAATGCATGATCAAAATTCTAAACTTTTTCCTGGTGACACTTCAGCTCTGGTAATGATGAATGTATTGCGCAGATCTCTTACCTTGGGGTTCTCCAGAATGCCAGACTCATAGCTGTTGAGATGCAGGATCATTAATAATTTTATTATTAGTATTATTATTAAACATGCAATATGAGATGTAGATGAGCATCTTAAACTCACCTGATGTGCATCAGATTGGCGTCCATACTCCACGGAGCCTTTGGTGTGACGGGAACAGGAATGTTGTGTTTCTGAGACGGGAAAAAAAGAGCAAAGATTAAATCACATCCAAAACATAAGCTGGTTTGACCCTCCTGTGCAATGATCATTCTTCTTCAAATATTTCCCAAATGATGTTGAACAGATTCGGGAAATGTTCACAGTGTTTCCTCTAATATTTGTTCTTCTGGAGAAAGTCTGATTTGTTTTATTCCAGCTAGAATAACATTTTTAATTGTTTTAAAGCCATTTTAAGGTCAATATTATTAACCCCCTTCAGCAATATTAGTGTTGGATTGTCTCCAGAACAAACCACTGTTATACAATGACTTGCCTAATTACCCTAACTTTACCCTAATTACCCTAGTGAAGCCTTTACATGTAACTTTAAGCTGAACACTAGTGTCTTGAAGAATATCTAGTCTAATATTATGTGCTGTCATCATGGAGAAGAGAAAATAAATCAGCTATTAGAGATGAGTTATTAACACTATTATTAGAAATATGCTGAATTCTCTCTGTTAAACAGAAATTGGGGTAAAATATAAAAGTATTAAGGTTTAACAGCAGGGCAAATAATTCTGACTGTATATTTGTTATGTATATGTGACAAACAAAACTATATACATACATATGCACAGTATTTTATATCTACATATAATAAACATTTTCTCAAATATACGCATACCTGTGTGTACTTATAGATATATATAATAATTATACACAGTACACACACACACATATACACATGTCAAAACAAACTTTTATTTTGAATGTGATTAATGGTGGATGTTTTTTTCCCAGCACTAAAATAAACAATAGCAATAAACAAATGATGAACACTCATTATACTCAGACTGGAACCGTTTTAGAAAACCTATTTAATTTTTTTAATCTGCATGTTTAATTGGATCTCATTTAACTTCCTAAAGTCTTATATTTATTATATGAATTAAATAAATGTACAGAGGCACACACAGACACATGCACACACACCGAAACAGATCTTTTATATTCCCGCATATGTACAGTTTTCTAATGACCTCTAGTGGACATTTTATTCAAAGCAAATGTAAAAGAATTTAATAAAAACGTTTGTTTTAATAGTGAAATGTGTGCATTTTGACAGCAGGGGACATCATATTAACTCCTATACTGCATTAAAAATGATTAAAAAAATTAAAAAATAATGATAATAATTTTTATTACTAACTCACAAATGCCAGAAACTTTAAAAATAAAAAATTAAGTATATTTTTTAGAAATTGCTAAGACTTCTATTAGCTTCACAAATAATATTTTATATTCCCTTATATATACAGTATATTAATATATATATATATATATATATATATATATATATATATATATATATATATATATATATATATATAT